GAGTTAAAATATCATTGGGAAACTGTTTCTATTGAACTTAGAGTACATAAGGCAATGCTTTCACAAAATATTTATAGGGAAAATTTTCACCTCTCTCTCAAGTCTATGGATCCTTTTGTAAATAGTTTCATTCTTTTCACAAAGGAAAACAACCAGATGCTTATTTCACACCTGAGCTAAACAGCAGTCTAGCTCAATGTTTTAATTTATTGCTATGGGCAGCTGCCTCTCTTTTCATCCTACAGTTTACTCCCTGAGGGTGCCTATACAAGAGCACAGAGGCTGCTCCAACACGATGGAATTCTAGCGCATTGGGGCTGGAATTCTAGTGTGGCCATTACCATGCTCCAGCAGCCTCCTGCATCTTGTGTATCAGCATCCCTGTGCTTAAAAATGTTGGCAGGGGTGCTTGAACTAAAGCTCATTCAATGAGTTTTAGTTCAAGCGCCCCCCTCCTGCCGTTTTTAAGCACAGGGACACTGATACACAAGACGTGGTGGCACTTTAATTAGGACGGTTCTCAGAGCCACTCTAATTAAAGTGCTACCCCCACCCCCACTACCGCTCCTGTAGCATGTGTAAAAGCGTTCTTGGATTTTCTGCTAGAAGATTAAGCTATATTCTGTACAGGCCAAATTCTTTCAACTTTGTTAGAAGTGCACAGACTGAAAATGTAGCCCAATGTTCTGTGCACGTTACTGCAAAATTTATAATGTCTCCTTCAGTTCATGCTATATCATAATACACCTCTTACAGATACCTTAAATAAAGGGATGCTGTTCAATCTACCAGTTGCAACGAGTTTTAATCCAGCAACAACATTACAGGCCATTTATAAGATGCATAATACTTGAAGTAGTACTTATAAAGCAGAACTAATACATTATCAGTGCTTCCACTAGACCTACACTGTAGTTAATATACAACAGTTTTCATGAAGAGTGTACATTACTCACAATTTCCATCCATTTCCTCTACTGCTTCTCCCAATACATTTTCTTAAAGGTTGGGCTTAAACAAAAGTAGGTCTGAAGTACAATGGGACTGAACCATATTTGAAAACCAAACTGGCAAAAGCTTTTAAATACTGTTCCAAATGCTCTTAAATATGGCTCCAACAAAATTGGTTTCCAATATTAATTTGCTGGTTAGCTTGGAGAGGAGCCAAACATCTAGAAAATAAACCATACCCTAGTCTTTTTAGGGTTTCAGTGTAAATCATATGTTTCTCAGGAAAATACAATATCATAGGGCCTGATTCATCCAGTATTTACAAGTTGGTCTTCTATGGAAGATCTTCAATAGAAGCTGCACCTCTGTGAAGAGGGCAACATAAGGCAGACAGTACAAATGAGAATCAGTCCCTGAAATCCCTTAACTTAGCCAGAACTGCTGGAAGGACCCTAGGTATAAGTACAGTAAATATGTTTCTCAGCCTTAATGCACATTATTGTATGTATTATATTTTTAAAATTTTGACATTTCTATTACCTAAAAAATATAATAGCTTTGAAAACTCATTGGTTAGGCCTTCTGGTAAGGTGACCTACCTTTGTTTAAACCCATACCTCTCATCCTTGTATGCCTCTGCATGACAAGCTGACATTCAGAGGGAAAGATGCTCTTTTTTTATTCTTCATTGAAACAGTTGAGTTCATGATCTAAATTGCTGCCACCCAAACACACAGAGATCAATGTGAGGTACTAGAAACTTCAGTACTTACCCTCAGGAGGACTGCATACCCCAAAAATGATATTGTCTTCTATGCGCTTCATCAAATCAAAATTTTCAACATAAAAAACAAATTCAGGCTTCCCAGAAATCTCTTCTAGCTGAGTTTTTTTTGCATTAAAAACTCCAACCGAGTAAATAATAATGCCATCCTGTCGTAGGGCTGTTGCTGGTTCTTTTACTGCATCTTGTGCTTCCCCATCGGTGATCAGGATAAGAATTTTTTTGACATTGGGACGTGCTCCTTTGGAAGGTTGGAAATACTGAGCCACAAAAGTCAATGCATTTCCAGTTAGTGTATTTTGATTTATAAGATTCATTCTATCTATAGCACTAACAATTTCGCTTTTGGTAGAGTATTGGTTGAGCTGGAACTCTTCCCTGGGAACATCACTGAACTGCACAACCCCAACTTGCACTCGTTCCGTGCCAATGTCAGATTTGTTCACCAGTTCTCTCATAAACCTTTTCATTTTGGCATAGTTTTCGTATCCGATACTCCCAGAACTGTCCACCAGGAACATGATGTCAGCTTTCATTTCTTTGCAGGCTACAGAAGAATTTGTTTAAAATTAGTATAACCCAGGTTATTTTTATTTAAAACATGATAGGGA